GGACAACTTATAAGCCAGGGGTCCGTGGACCCACAAGGCTGGATTCCATCAGTTTAAGTGATGACAAACCAGAGTTGGGAGTCAGGTGGGTAGGGGTAGATAGGATTTCGCACCTTTTTCAGTCTTTAGTATTTATTAAGTACACCTTAAAAAAGCAAAATTCATGCGTAATTTAAAAAAAGAATCATCAATTCTCGAAATGCGGGACAATCGCGTACCCTGTGAGACGTTTGGCACCGCTATCAGTTAGTTACCCCCAATATCCACCCACTATCTATCCCAATGGTGTCAAGAAATCACAGGTAATGAAAAGGAATCTGTGGAGAGTCATGATCGTCTACGTCCTGATGTGACATGACATTTTAAAAAAATATCTATATTAGTATTACATTTATTTCTGTTCGTCTAATTTTCCAACCTGCTATACCCAAGTGGAAGAATTGAATACAATCCGGGGAATTAATAATGCTTTTATGCGAATGAAGGAATTGTCTTGGTGCTATGTGACGATACACTCGAGTTGATTGATCAAAATACCAAAATTTTATGGACAATACTTTGAACCTCGACGAATGAGCTGAATTGCAATCATTTGGCTTGAAGATAAATGGGGGTTTTATTTGACTCTCCAGGGATGATTGTAAATGACGTCACATCTTTCGGAATGATCATTCCAGTGAAGAACTTCAACAAGGCTGTGAATGAAATGATTGATTTCGTACTTTGGTAAAAATCGCCATATATAATGCATTTGATTAGTGCAAGAATCATTGGCGTCCCACGGAAAGAAGAAAAAGGCTTCTGACGCATCAAAATGAATCGAGGTTCATCACGTACTTTCATTAACTCAAAAGGACAGAAATGATGATCGTTTTTTATGTGGTTTATTTTATTTTACCCAATACAGTCACACATTAATTCTTGCAATCACGTGGAAGCTATGTCAAAATGATAGCCGAGAAATTATCGCTCTCAGTTTGAGCTATGGGAAAGGAAGGACTAATACAGAATACACATCACCGTTGAAGCAGGAAATGCACATAAAACGAATATATATATATATATATATATATATATATATATATATATATATATATATATTGTGGTCAACACCTATCGGCGAGTCTGTTTCAAGCTTAAACGCAATCGTCACGCCATATATTAACATACGCTCTATCTCTGATATTGGGCATTTTAACCTACAAATATAGTATACCTTTAAACTATAATTTTATCATATATATTTGGAAGTCATCCTCTAAATTTCTAAGAATCACATAAAAATTGAATACTCCGTGTCTTTTTCAAATCTATTTCACTAGCTCACCTCGGGCAAGAGGAATTTTCTCTTCCTGAAGGGTTTTATTTAATAATAATAATAATAATAATAATAATAATAATAATAATAATAGAAAGCGGTGTAAGACAAAAATGTTTCTTCTTACCAGATTATTCAACCTATACAGCGAGGCGATTCTAAGTGAATTAAAAATCCTATCAGGATTCATTATTGGCGGAGAAAAACTTAACAGCATTAGATCTGGATATGGCACAGAGTTGATGGGAGACACAGAAAGGAAACTACAAGAACGGTCATATAAGATAGTGAGAAAAAAAAGCGAGAAGAAAGGACTAAACCTCAATTGCGATAAGACTGAACGCATGGTTTTCTATAAAAGGAAAAGACCAATATGCAAATTGGAAATACAAAAACCAAACAAATACAATAACTTAATTATAATTTAAATATTCGGGAAACGTTTCAATAGAGGATATAAATATATCCCAGCATGTTCAAAGGAAATTCAGAGTTAACCTTCCTCAGAACTGAGAACATGTCTTGCTTGAATAAATCTGCTTTTGTGGCTGATGTTCTTCTATCGTTGAACACAGTTGTATTCACAGACCTATGCAAATTATTCAATTTGCCCTTGTGAATATTGGCGGGTATCAGTCGATCCGTGCTTCTAAATTTTAACCTGTACTACCGACATAGCGTGACATTGATATTTGAATATGATGTGCTTTGAAGCCAAATAGAAGCTCCCTTGATAGTCCCGCTCTGCGTCGTCGAGCGGTAGAAGAATGTTGAATCAGACTCTCTTTCTTCCTGCAATGTGGGACGAAGATTTAAATCCTGATGGAAAGTACATTCTCTTTATTATGTTTTCTCGATTACGCAGGCCGGTAGCCGAAATAAATACTATTTAAATAAACGGAGAGCCTACTGAAATACGGCTATGCAACCCTAGCATTTAGTTTACTTTTATTTTATTTTAATAAAATGGCTTTGGTTTTATATTTCACAGACTATCTCTTGTCATTTTTTTTTACAGTTTGCCTTGTCGCTTGATCTCCATTTTTCCCAATCTCTTTTAACTGAACCCACAAAAAATATACAGTGATAGTTTACTTTTTTCCTCGTTTCTCATAATAGTTAAAAGGTTTCATTAAGAAAAGAAAAAGGAGCAATAACGCTAAGTGTGGAATAAAGCTATTAATGAAATACTGTAGGGTCGGTCTACCCGGATTGAAAGTGCAAAATTAAAACCCGAGTGTCGTGCTTAAAAAAAACAACATAAAGCGAAGAAATTATTTTTTTACATAGGCAAAAAGGAAAACCAGATTGAAATAATGATATATTTATGTAGACATTAACATTTATTTTTATATGGTAAACATTGTGCTTGTTCTGGTTGTAAAAAAACAAAGTTCAAATGTTCGACAAAATTTTCCATTTGTTAAAAGGTAATTCGTAAGGTCCTATGCCTTGGTCACTATAAAGTGTGTGTATATGTGCGTGTGTTTGAAGTACATTTAAAAGAGCGTATGCGTGGCTGCTGACTGAATGTGTGTATGTGTGGGTGAAGCACATTAGTAGAAACATTGTGTGTGTGAGTGTTAATGCGTAAAATCTGATTACGGTGGTTCCAAAAGGAAATGGACATACAGATTGATAAGACTTACTTTTTTCCATGGGTATGAATATTTCTTTCAGTTGTGTGAATATTTCTTTGAATGGTGTGTAGTCGTCGCTGACTGAGGTGTTGTCATGGTAACGAGAGAATTTTGATCGGGTGTTTACAGATCCAACCGCCTGAGATCGACGGGTGATACACGTCCAGCTGCTGCTGTGTGTTTTTACAGCCCCCGAAATCGTTAACCTGATCACGTGATTGGCTCCAAACGAAAGCTTCTCTTTTTATGCGAGATAGCACCCAGCGACCAGTTCATTTGGAGTTCAGACGTACGGAGGTAGTGTCAAGCATAGCACGTGATTGTACTGTGCAATCAAATTCCAGAAACCACTTATTTAATTTTGGATTCTATTTTTTTACAGATTTGTACAAATGTTTTTGTTTTAGTGATTCCGATCCTATTTATGTGTGGGCGTTTCTTACTTATTTGTGTTTCACCTATTGGTTGTAAAATATGGGATTTTATATCCTATAAATATACCAGATCATTGAAGAAGTGTGTGCTCGATGTTTATTGTTAATATAAAATGACGCTAACTTAACACTGAGCGGTCCTTATGCAAGTAGACCATATGGGAAAACGTCGCCCCATTGCTTATGTATCACGCTCACTTACTGGGGTAAGCAGTCATTAAAAAGGAAGCACTTTCGGCTACTTGAATATGTGCCAAATTCGATTGCTACATCGCAGGGACAGTCTTCACCATGGAGACAGACCATCACCCTTTGGTACCTCTACTCTCTAGCACAGACTTGTTCAAACTTCCACACAGAATCCTGCGATTTCAACTCCGGATGCCAAGGTACTCACTTGATGTGATATATGTTCAAGGGGTGCATCACTAAACGACGGATGACCTGTCAGGAGCTACTGCCAGCAACCCAACACGAGAAGAATTAAAATCCATATCAGTCATTCCGACATATTAATCCATGGACCCATATTGACACTGATTTGTTTGAAATCGAAAATAAGAAATCCCTCATTGTGGTCGACTACTACAGACGGCGGTTTGAGCTGCGACAACTACATGAGACCACTTCATGAGCGATGATTCGAGCCATAACCTCTGTATTTGCATCTTATGGATTACCGAACACTATGATATCGGAAAATAGGCCCCAGTATAGTAGATGGCAATTCAAGGAGTTTGCTAAAGACTTGAGTTTTACCCACATTGCTTTTTCACCACTACATCCGCAGTCCAATGGAGAAGCCGAAGCAGCGTTGTAAACACCAACATATATTCTCCAAAAGAATTCAAATCTTTAGGAAGGACTTTTTGTACACCGTCAGCCCCTTTGAGGAATAGGATTACTACTCGTGAAATAGTCATGGGTAGGAAACCGAGGACAAAATTACCAAGAGTCCCCATCAATATAAAACTCCCAAGTCATCAAGAGAAAAAAAGATAGTCAATAAAGAATAAGTATACAGGGAGAAATATGCAATAAATTTCAACATCAAAGTGAGAAACCTACCAGTGCTTCAGGAAGGAGATATAAAGGGACTCAACCAAGATCTTACATTGTTACTAAAGAGACTGAATCAATCATAAGGCAGAACAGACACTGCATTAAAAACACAGGAGAAAGAATGGAAAACCAAGTGTCACAGCTTCCATCTCATGTGAACCAGTCGGACCCCAACTTGTATCAGCATCACTAAACTCTAAAACTGCACCTCTAAGTGATACGCATCAAAATAAACATTCAGAGCGACTGGTAAAGACCAAAAAAAAGATGGTTTATTACTAATTGGTAACCGCCTCCAATAAATAAATAAAGTCATACAAACTTGCGGAAGAGTGTTCTATAATATCATTTTGTAAAAGACAATGCTGATTGGCTGACACTCACTTAAGACACCATTTGTAAAGACGGTGTTGATTGGCCAAGAGAGAGCCAATACATTTGTATATACTCCAAATAAAACAGTTGCTAGCTGTCACTTAAACTGGGTAACCATGTCACCTTTTTTTTTTTTCCTAGCCGTAATGCCACACTACCCAGGCATCTAAGCTTACAGCACTTGATATCCCCAAACGTTCACCCATCTTGGTACTGACCATCCTCAACGTCGCTTAATATCGGTGATCGTACGGGAACTGGTGTTTCAACGTGATGTGGCCTTAAGAAAAAGTCAGTTAAAAACTACCTCGCAACTTTATTCAAACAAAAAACACAAGGTTTCTACGAAAATGTCATCAACGATTTGGTAGAATGATGAGAGACAGTTGTTAAAAACAATGGAGACTGTCTACTTGACTAATAAATGTTTTGTTTTTTTTGAATATGTAAAATTTTGTTTTTAATTTTCTAACTGGGCAAGAACTTTTACAATGATTATAGTGCAAATGCTTTATCTAAAAAGAAACAGTAATACAATAGACATTTTAGTAACTAGTTCTTTGTTATTTAAAAAAATTCAACAAAATGATTATGGGATATCAGTCCTCTTACTATATAGCAGTGAATGCTAGACAATCTTATCAAATATGAAGAAGAGAACTGAAGCAATAGAAATGTGGTTTTACAGAAGGATGCTGAGAATGCCATGGACCGAACATATGAGCAACAAAGAACTTCTAAAGACAATAGAAACAAAATGGACACCTATACTTAACATCAGGAAGAGACAGTTGAAATTTCTGTGGCGCATAATGAAGAAAAGAGAACTTGAAAAACTTGATAACTACAGGACAGGTTGATGGTATGAGTGATAAAGGAAAGCAATCTATAAAACCTATCTAGCGGCTTTGAGTGAATGGATGGTGTATCAAGTTTTGGAAGTGATAGCAAAAGGACAAATTTTATTAAGAACGGCAAACAACAGGAAACTGTGTAGAGCCATACACGTTAGCATCCAGAAAAGACATGGTACATAGAACAAGTAACAAAACGATAATTATGTAGGCTGTGCGTGTGTGTACGAGTGCGATATTTAACGTCTGAATTTTAGTAATGAAATGTTCCGTATCATTTTTTTTTTCCAAGAAGCTTAATTTAAGGGAGATAACTCGCTTTGTCATTGCAATGGAAATGATTTTTGTCTTCTTTACTTCCACAAACAATAACGCTTGTTATTATTCTGTTAAATTAACACATATTTTTTCTCGTGGAGTTAGAAAAAATCAGACTCGAAGAAATTTTTAAATGAATATGGTATCAAAGATCATTATTTTCCAAATGGTAAGAATCATATTGACCGAGCAGTGAGCGCCAATGTAGGTTGAAATTTTAATAAAATCTTTCACTTAAAACATTTTATTCAGTAAAATAGGTTTCTCAAGTTCTCTAACCGTTATCGCCCTTTCTAGTACTGATGTATGTTTCCTTCCTAATCTTTTGTTTAAAGTAATGTGGAATGTCAACATCTTGATTATCTCATTATTTCTCTTACATGTACATGGGCTATCCATTTTAGTTGCTATTGCTGTTGATATTCCTCAAGTAATGTACATTCTGTTATTTGTTACAGTTCTTTGTGATTCTATACCATTTCACACACTTGGGAGAAGTCTGATCTTCGCCAGTACCCACAGGCTACACTCGCTCAATGCCATCTTTATCCATTGATCTGAGAAAGTGTTTGTATACAGCTGACAGTTTAGATATTTCTGGATAGGTTTGGCGCCATGCATGACACCAATATTAAAGTTTCGATATGACGAGGCTAAATAAGATAAGAGTTTTCAGGTTTTGTAGCAAGTTGCGGTGTTGGATGAAACTACATCTAGCGCAGCCTATTATATGATCAGTTTCCTTTTATCCGATAATAAATTTATTATAACTGATGCATACATCGAGTTATTTGAAGTGTTTAATATTTACTGATTCCACATCCTGAATCTTTATGATAAACTGCTAAAAACAAATTCTATTTGTTTCACGTTTTTGATTTTTAATATATTTTTTTTAAGCATTCAACCCCAAGCAAGGCGGGAAGCCACTAGCACGCAAGGGGTTACAGAGTTAGAGCGAGAACAAGGAGTGATAGCGGAAAGGATGAAGAGAAGGTTAGGGGATAGATCAGGGCATCTAGAGACGTCGATTGACGTTACATTTGAATAATTCGAGATTATAGCTATCAGGAAGACAAGAAATTGGGAGGGAGTTCCACAGGGGAGAAGTGCGAGACATGAAGATATTGGAGTAGAAGAGACGACTACATTTCACAGTTTCGACAGTGAAAGGGTGAGAGCGAGATGCCAGCCTAGTTGAACGCTTAAATTCATGAAGTCTGGGAACCAGCGAAAGCAGCTCATCGGAGCAGTTACCTTGAAAGTATCTGTAAAAAAAGACAGAGCGAGGCAACGGCACGTCTGTGAGAGAGCAACTGCAGATCAATTACAATTACATTGCATATCCGTCTTTGGATTTTATCAAGGACCTTGGGACAATTAGAAGAGGGTCCAGACCATATATGGCAGCAGTACTCCATGCAAGGGCGAATGGTTGATTTGTAGATTTGAAGGATCGACTCTGGCGAGAAAAATTTCCTGGCGCGGCACAGGGAGCCAACTTTCCTAGCGGTGGACGAAGCTATTGACTCGATGTATTCGTTACATCTCAGGTAAGCGGACAATGTAAGAACGAGCAGGTGCTCTCGTGAAGTTGAGCGTCAGACATTCTAATGGGAGGCAGGGATGGTTCTCTCCGGTGAGTAATAGAGAGCAGTTCTGTTTTTAAGGCATTGAAGTTAACCAGTCAATTTCTGCCCCAGTCCACAACCGATTGGAGATCCTTTTCAAGACAAAGGGCCAGGTTAGTTTTGTCAGCGACACTAGATTTGATTTTGAGGCAGGAGTAAATAGTAGTGTCGTCCACATAGATGCCTACTTGGGAACCTATGTCATCAGGAAGATCGTTAATGAAGGTCAGGAACAGAGTAGGGCCTAATATGGAGCCTTGGGGAACACCTGCGTTCGCGGGATAGGAGCTTGAGGAGAATCCGTTGAGAACAAACTTCAATGTACGGTTCGACAAGAATGATTATATTAAGTCGAACAATCGACAAGAATGATTATATTAAGTCGAACAATCGACCTGTAATTCCATAACACTTAAGCTTGCGAAGAAGGCCTGCATGCCAAACCCTGTCAAACACTTTAGAGATATCAAGAGGCACGGTACGATCTTCTCCGTTATTATGAAGTGCCTGGTAAACAATTTCAGTTATGGCCGTAATTCATCAGCTGTAGAACGGGAAAAGCGGAAACTATATTGCTTGTCGGAGAGCAGATTATGGGATGTAAGGTGCTTAACCACTTCGGCGTTGATTAAAGCTCCAAAGACTTTACCGAAGACTGGTAGGAGACTGATAGGACGGTAATTAGAAGGATCAGAAGGGTCCCCAAAGTTCTTAAAGACAGGAACAACGGATGAGGACTTCTAACAGGGTGGAAAACAAGATTCATTGAGGCAGTAGTTATATAATTTGGAGAGGCCAGGGGCCAGTTCAGGCGCGCATTTCTTAAGGACAATGGCTGGTATCCCATCTCCACCACTAGCCTTGTGGGGGTCTAATTTAGAGATGCCCAAAACAGATGAAGGTGAGCAAGTCGCTCAATTTAGCCTCAATTCTAAAGGGGAAATCGAGTGTGAGTACACCGGAAGAGTCGAGCGTTGAATTGAATGAAAATTTCCGAGCAAGAAGTCAGAACCTCAAACTGGTTGAACAAAAGAGGTATAGAGGGTTTGCTATTGTTAAATACGCTCTTGCAGAGACACCAATAATCCCTGGAGCTGAATTTGTGAGATGCAATACGTTCTTTCATTCGAGCAACTAATACTCGTTACGGGCAGAGAGAAAGAGACGTCTATTGCAATCTGACATGTCGCTACGATAAAGGTGGAAAAAGTAATTCGTATGGGCAATGGCAGCTGAGCAAGCAGCGAAGAACCAGGGGGAGGAGCGCGATTTGACCTTATATTTCCTTGAGGGGATGAAAGCCTCGATTCCAGCTTTAACGCAGTAGTAGACATCGGAAGCACATTCTTGAACGAGGAGCGTGAAGACAACGTCCCAGGGAACGTCGCGGAACGAGTCCCAGTCTGCTCGTTGATAGCAGAACGATGTTCTAGTGGTCGGAGGTTCTTTGCAGCGGGGTGGAGTTGAAGGAGATGTTAACTGACACTACAGCGTGATCGGAGTTGCCAAGAGGGCAGAGTTGCGTGGCGCTACAGGACTCGGGGATGGAGGTAAAACAGATCAAGAAGAGAAGCCTTACCATCCAGATTGTAGGGAAAACGTGTGGGGAAGTCAACTATTTGCGTGAGGGATTTAGAAATTGAAAAATTAAGGGTTTGTATGCCTGCAAGGTCAGTAGTAGTAAAAAAAATTTCGTCTTGGACAGCACGCGAACCTAAGCTGTCTGCATTATTCTGTAGTAGTGTGACGTTAATTCATTTTAGATAAAATAGATACAATCGTGGAAATGTTTTGCCGTATCTGTCTTCACGTTGTTTATGTTTTTGAAAACGAAGACCCCAAGCCCATTGTTGGCGGTGGGGAAAAAACTCTACGTTCCTTGAAACTGAAAAGCTTGGTGACATATAAAGTCAGCCTCTACAATGCACTATCTGACCATGAGAATGGAAGTCGGCAATATTGAATGCTAGCTACCATGTGTATTAGAATTATATGCCGCATTCGCTATACTGGAAAACCAAATTTGTTATTTAGGATAGGACAATGGGGCTTATACTAAGTTAAAACTTTATATATATATATATATATATTCACTGGATAAAAATTAAAATCATTAAGTCCATTATTAATAATATCGTTTGTTCATCACTATACAGTTAATTCAAATTTTCACAGTATGATTTTTTTTAGATTAAAAAAATGTCCAAACTTCATATGTCTTCAAGTTCCCAACCTTCAGATTTAATTTTGATATTTATCACTTGCAAAAACTGTTGACAATGGAATATTCAGCATTTCTTCTCGATTTCTGAAATAACAAGAACAATCATATATTTCAACGACTACTAATTCCAATACTTATAAAAGTCTCGTATCATATGTTATAAACTGTATATAAAAATAAATATCTTCTCAGTGCGCGCAATACAAGAACAACAAAAATATTGCATTTTCGGCAATTCTATGGTTTTTACAAGA